GTCGGTCGTCCCGAGCAATGACAGAAGCATAAAAACTCGGAGGTCCGCGCGGTGTTCTTGGATGCGCGCTGGACCCTGGTCAATGGCGCGCGGAGCGCGCAAGATGCGGCGCCAGAGGCGCCGCCAGGGGGCCCCAGTGCCGATCCAAGAAATCCGCGCGGACCTCCGACATGTTATGTTTATGTCATTGTTCGTTCGCCGAGAAGGGTCACGTGCTCGGGAGCCCCATGCTTTCCGTACCCATGTCGGGCGTCCAGAACCGGGGGTGGAGGCACGGAAGGCCGGGCGGCCGCCGGAGGCCACGCCGACGGCCTCGGCCCGAGAGCCTGGGCGCGCGGGGGCCGACCCGGCAGGCCCACGGCCTTCTTGGCCTGCGGCCCCTCGTGGGCCCGCTGGGAGCCCCGCTGTAGAGGCGTGCCAAAGAGGATGACGAGGAGGAGGAGGAGGAGGAGGAGGAGGAGGGAGAGGAGGAGGAGGACGAGGAGGAGGTGGAGGAGGAGGAGGAGGAGGAGGAGGGAGACGAGGAGGAGGAAGAGGAGGAGGTGGAGGAGGATGAGGAGAAGGAGGAAGAAATTAGTGGGTGGAGAAGGATGAGGAGAAGGATGGGTGGAGGGCTCAGGGTGAAATCCATACGGGCGTTCGCGCCTCGAAACAAAATTCGTTTTGCGATTCACCTTTTGCAGAGTGAAGCGTCGAAAAAATCAATCCAATCGGCATTTCAAATTTCACCCTTTGCCCTCCACCCAAAGAAAATGCTCGGAAGGTGCAAACTCCCAACGCAGCCGCGCCTGCACCGGACGCCTCCAGAACGAGCCTAGAAGGAGCCACAGGAGAGCTCCAAGCCATACACGCCACCACTGGCCCTGGACAAGCCCATATGCTGGGCCCTGGGCTGGTGCACGGGCTCTCCTGGCCCAGGCCCGGAGGTGTGCACACGAGTTAAGGGAGATGGGGTGGAGAGGGGAAGGGGTTGTTGTGGTGGTGTGTTGTCGGCGTCCCTCCGAGGAGTTCGTGCCCCCCTGGGGGGAGAGCCGTAGGATTATGTTGCCTCCATCGTATTTGAAAACCACATCCCAAAAATAATTTCGAGCACCCGGAAAAGTGTCGAAAGAGTGTCGAAACAGTGTCGAGACAGTGTCGGACGAGTGTCTCCCAGGGCCCGACACGTGAAAACCCTCGAGTTCTTGGGTACTTTTCGGGTGCTCGAAATTCTTTCTGGTGATCAAGGCCAAGGTAGGTTGGAACATCATAACCGTAGGACAGAGCAGGCCCGTCGGGCCACAGGAGAAGGCGTGGTGCGAGTGCATGTCCCTCGCGCGATCGTGCACGAGAGAGTGGCTCGCTTTGCACAGCAGTCGGCTACGATGCGAGGCGGGGATTTATCCAGATCCAACGCCTGGGAACCGACGCCCTGGTGCCCCAGCGGGCGGTGGACATGGATCTACATCTCTCTCTCTCTCTCTCTCTCTATATATATATGTGTATTTCGGCCCCCGGGGGCCAGAATGTGTCCATATCCACCGCCTGCCGAGGCTCCGAAAGCTGACCCTCCTGGACTCCAGGCGGTGGATATGGATAAACTCCCGCCTCGGCTAAGAGCCCCCGGGAGTGGCCCCCAAAACTTTTGGAACCCGACCCGAGCGCAGCGGCAAGTTGGGCCTTGCACCTCCCCCTGTCCCGTGCCTCCGTCTCCCTCGCGTGAGGTCGGGCCTGTCCCCCTGCAGGGGGGTTGTTCGACGAAAAATCAAAGATAATCAACACATACTCCAGAATCCAGACTACTTTTTTTTAAACAATTTTCGATATTCCCCCTGTAGAAGGACAGGCCCGACTTGACCCTTGCGCCTCTTGCGCCCGATCTGTTCTCTTCTCAGGGTCGGCACATCCGGCCGTGAGGCCTTCGCGATAAACGCGAAGATCAGGATTTGTTTCGCAACCCGTCAGATGCAGGAAGAGGGGAGAGGGCAGGAGCAGAGGGGAGAGAAGGAAGGAGGGGTGAGGAGGAACATGATGACTCGCCATAGTCGCCCTTGCCTAGTAGGACCTCCTGAAATATCACCTCCCCTCCACACGTCTTCCCGCCTCCCCCCTCTTCCTCCTACCGTCGCACCTCCCTCCATCTGCACAGTGGAAGGGGGAAAGGGACGGAGGGAGGAGGGAGCAGGAAGGATGGAGGGAGGATGCAGGGAGGAAGAGTTGGGTGGGGCGGAAGGAGGGCTCTCATGGGGGGTAGGGTGGGGCAGCGAATCAGCTCACGCAGCTGATTTCCTCGGCGCCTCCTGGCACAGGAACCTCCCATGCGTTGAGAAAAGTGCCCATCGGCGGAGCCGAAACCACCTGCACGCATGCACCAAGCTTTCGTACCCCCTACCTGATTCAGAGCCTGCTCCTGCCATTCATCACACATGATACGAACGAGTTGGTGATCCCACCACAAAGCTTTGCACTCACGTCTGTGGAATTACCCACGGCGACATGCTTCCAGAGGCCCATCTCCGAGGGGCCCCACAAGAGAAGCGAAATCAACGTGGCCCGCGCATGCAAGTTCAAGGCCTCGGAGCACTCAGCCTCCACATATGAAAATCATTGTCCCGCCTTCTCTGGCGGCTTCCTCCCTAGCCTTCGCGAAAACGTGTTGTTGTGTACAGCGAGCCAGTCCTCCTCTCAACGACGATGGCGGCGGCAGTGACGACGGCGACGACGGCATCTGCGGCGGCGGCGAGGCCGACGACGAGAAGGGGCGCTATCCGACCAGTGCGGGCAAGCCGCGTCTGCTCCCTGCACTGAGGTCCGGTCATTGTCGCTGAGGCACGCGCCTGCGGTCGCCCTGATGCTCGGGTCGGGCGAAAGGGGGGGATAGCAAAGGGGGGTTTGAGAATCAGCTCACGTAGCTGATTTTCCCGGCGCCTCCCGGCGCTGGAGGCGGCTATGTATCGAGGAATGGGCTCCTCGGTGGGGCCGAAACCAGCTGCATGCAACAAATTTAAAACAGGGCTAGGATCGGGAAAAGTCGCTCCAGAGCGTTCTGGAGCGCTCTCAGAGCGTTCCGGAACGCTCTGGAGCGACCGCGGCGCCCAATACATCCTCCAAACCCGCCAATTCTCAGAGATTTCGAGTTATCCCGATCCGATTTTGTCCCGATCTTCGCGTCGTTTTAAAATTTCGAATTTCGTAACCCCCCTTTCCCAATCCCCCCCACTCGTCGGGCCCGAGATGCGGTCCTGGCCCGTGAGCGGCAAGGACCTGGACGGACAGTTGCTCTATATATCTCTGGCCTCTGGGGGGGAAGAACGAGGGGCCCTCAGGGGCCCCGCTGGGGCCCCTTGTGGCGCAGCAGGGGCCCGAGAGGGGCCCCAAAGGGTCCCTCTTAGGGCCCTGTGACAGGGCCCAGGTCGGGAGTCAAGGACAGGGCCCCTGTCCTTGACTCCCGATTTGGGCCATCCCCCCCGGTTCGCCCCTGCTGGGCCCTGGGACCGTCAAGCACCGGCAGCGGGTCCACTTTCTACAACTTTGCCAAGAAAGAGCTCGCGCTTGAGGGAGGGGGGGGGCGAGGGAGGGGAGAGAGAGGGAGGGGGAGGGGAGGGGGAAGGGAAGGGGGAAGGGAGGGGGAGGAAAGGGGGCGGGAGCGGCGGCAGAGCGGCGAGGGAGGAGTCCTGTCGCTCTGCGAGGAGGGCCGCGGCGAGCCTCCCCGGGATGAACAGCTGGTCCCAGGGAGCGGGTCGAAAGTACACGGCAATGGGAAGGTCGCGACGAGGCGGGGGCGGGCCCTCGAGGGTGCAGGGGACCGGCTCGGGGGGGGGGCGGACATGGACATGGACATGGACATGGACATGGAGAGGGATCGACCTAACCATTGTTTGTCGATTTCGTGCTGTTTTCGCTTTCCCTCGTGTGCTGTTTTCGTTTCTGTGCTGCTTCCGTTTCTGCTTCTGTGTTCGTTTTGCTTTGTCTTCGGTCCGCAAAACGAAAACGGCCCACGAATTCGCCATAGCACCACTTAGGTCGACCCATGGACCTGGAGTCAGCGATACATCGCCGATAGATCGGCGATAAGCCCCCGACGGCGCATCTGAACGCTCGTGGGCGGGACGGGCCCATCAGAACCCATCGGCGATCAGGGGTCGATGTCTTGCCCCCCGAGCTGCCCCGAAGTGTTCTGGCCGCAACTCGGCTCTCCGGCGGCCGTTTGGGACGACACGAGCATCCCCGGAACGCTCTCGGCGAGGCGCAGCCGCTGGAGGGCATCCCGAGAACCGACCAAAACGCCTGAAGACCTCAAACCCCGAAATCCTGAGCCTTCCTCCCCCCCCCCATCGCTGGCCCTGAGACCCGGGGCGCGACCATCTGCCCAGGGACCTGGGCCCAAGCAGGACTTCGGGGGCGTCCGAGAGGGAGTGGCGCAAATCATGGCACGCGGCATGTGCGTGGGGAGAGGCCTGGGGACGCATCGAGAGAAGGAGAGGCGCCATGACATCTGGGGAGACATCATGTCCCCAGCCATATCCAACACCCCTTTCGGGGATGGACAGACCCCCCTTTAGTAAAACGTGGTTTAGTGAAAACGACCTGAGGCCCAAACCTGGCAGGCGCAAGCCTGGAAAGTGACGGCCACGGAGCCCTCTCGAGAACCGAAAACGGACAACTCACTAATCGACGTGTCACTGTTGGGGGTTCTGTCCAGCCCCGATACTCCCTGGACCCCTTCCCAGGTGCGTTCGGGCCAGGATTCCCCCGCGAGTCTGGCGGTGGCGACGCCGGCCTCCCAGGGGAGGCCCCGAGGCGGGCCAGCGAGCCGAGGGTGCCTTTAAGTCGGGCCTGTCCCTCCACAGGGGGAAGAGTCAAAAACAATTTAAAAACACAATGATATGGTGTTTTTTTTTGGGGGGGGGGGGGACCCTTGTCATCGCCCCCCTCTTGGCCGCCCCCAAGGACTGGCGCGGCTGGCTGGCCCGCGCGGGCGCTCGGGCCGCTCACGCGGGCGCGGCTCGCTCGCCCTGGGCCTGCGCGTCCGCGCTCGCCCTCAGGCGACCGAGCCGCTCGCGGCTCCGGCGCAGCTCCGAGATGCGCCGCAGGCAGGCGAGCTCCTCTCTGCCCCACGAGCGGAAGGGAAATCATACGAGGAGGAGGGGGAGGAAGAGGAGGAGGAGGAGGAGGAGGAGGAGGAGGAGGAGGAGGAGGAGGAGGAGGAGGCCGAGTAGGAGCAGGAGGACGACGAGGCTTTTTGGTTGTCTGGCACCTCCTTCACCTGTCGCCGCGGGCTGGGCTGCTCTCGCCCTTACGGACCACTATTCTTAGCCTGTTCTCGCCCTTGCGGGCCACTATTTGTTTGTTGTTTAGCATGAGTCGGCGAATTATTGCGTGCACTTTTTCACACAAGTTTCAGGCATCGGCCTAAAGTTCGCCCAACGTCAAAAAAGGAGGAGGACGACCCCTCCGTAGGTGGGACTCCGTCAAGTTCAATGCCTCGTTCAACGACGGCACCGGTGTCGGCGACGACGACGGAGGCTGCGACGGCGCGAGGCCGACGACGAGAAGGGGCGAACGAGCCGAAGGGGTCGTCCAAAGGGGCAGCCGCTCGTCCCGAGTCGCTCTCTCCCTCTGGCAGCCCCAGAGAGCCACGAACACGGCGACTCAATCTGGTCCCACCCCCCTCCAGAGGCCATTCCTCCTCCTCCTGTTCCTCCTCTTCCTCGTCGTCGTCCTCTTCCTCCTTCCTCCTCATCATCCTCCTTCCTCCTCCTCCTCCTCCTCCTCCTCGTCCTCCTCCTCGTCATCATCATCATCATCATCATCATCATCATCATCATCATCATCATCATCATCATCATCATCATCAGCATCAGCATCAGCATCAGCATCAGCATCAGCATCAGCAGCATCAGCATCAGCATCATCATCATCCTCCTCCTCCTCACCATCATCATCATCCTCATCCTCATCCTCATCATCATCCTTCATCCTCCTCCTCCTCTTCCTCCTCCTGTCCTCCTCCTCCTCGTCCTCCTCCTCCTCCTTGTCGTCCTCCCCGTCCTCCTCCTCCTTGTCGTCCTCCCCCTTCAGCATCCCCTCCCTGTCCTCCCGCTCCTCCTCCTCCTGCTGCGTTGCGCGAGCTAGGGGGCTGAGCGTGAAGCGTTATTCCTCCTCCTCCTCCTCCTCTCCTCCCCTCCCCTTCTCCTCCTCCTCCTCCTCCTCCTCCTCCTCCTCCTCCTCCTCCTCCTCCTCACCCTTCTGCACCTTCCTCCTCCTCCTCCTCTTCCTCTTCGTCCTCCTCTTCCTCCTCCTCCTCCTCCTCCTCCTCCTCCTCCTCCTCCTCCTCCTCCCCCTCCTTGTCGTCATTATCATCCTCCTCCTGTCCGCCTCATCATCCTCAGCATCGCCATCATCATCACCATCAGCAACCATCAGCATCAGCATCAGCATCAGCATCAGCATCATCATCACCACCATCATCATCAGCATGATCACATCCTTCATCATCAGCAACATCATCGGCATCATCATAATTATCTGAACCAACATCATCGTCATCATCATCGCCATCATCGTCATCCTCATCATCATCATCATCATCATCATCATCATCATCATCATCATCATCATCATCATCATCATCATCATCATCACCGTTGTCATCTCAATCCTCATCCTCCGCCTCCTCATCATCCTCCTGCTCCCGTTGGCTCATCCTCCTCTTTTCATCGCGTCATCCTCTTTCGCCTACTCTTCCTCCACATCCTCCTCTTTTCCATGCTGGCATCGTCTTGCTTTGGCTGCCCAGGAGTGTCACATCCAATCCCCCGCCCCTCAAAAATTGGTCCGCGGGACCCTCCCGTCTGGTGAAGTTTTTCATTCTGGGATCGATGCTTGACCGTCCCTTTGAGCCACGGGCGCCCCACAGAAGCCTCCAGAAGCATCCAGTATGCCTGCAAGGAGGGAGGAAGAGGGAGAAGAGAAAGGTAGAAAACGAGGCGAGTCGTCTTCGCCGTCGGCGTCCACGTTGACGCGAACCCCGAGCGCCCCGGATCGGCGCCACTGGCCGGAGGTCACTACGAATAGTTGCGCGGTCCCGTTCAGATGTAAATAGCCTGCGGCGAAGATAGCAGAAAGCGGCGAAAACTGCGGAAGACAGAAGATAGAAGACAGAAGACAGTTGTGACAACTGTGGAAAACGTCTGTTGGATCAAACATTGTCTGCACAAATCTCGCCGCCCTGTGCCCGCCGCGCCCGCCGCCGCCGTTGGGGCCCTGGGCCCGACGCGCCCCTGCCGTGGCGGCCGCGCTGTTGGTGTTTGGGTTTGACTCTGATTTTGACATTGATGTTGAGTTTGTGTGTGAGTTTGGGTTTGAATTTGGGTGTAATTTTAAATGCAAGTTCAAATTTCAATTTGGGTTTGCGGCACGGCAACGAGCCCACAGATGGCGTCGTGCTCACAAGCATGGCGAGTGCGGCGCTGTGCTGAGAGGCATGGTGTGCGCGGGGGGGTTGGAAGGGGCGGGCGCCCCACAGGTATGGCGAGGGCTTCCAGAGACCGAACGCGGTCCTGATAATGGCAATGCCTTGACCTCTGCGTTTCCCCCCAAAACGTTGCTCCTGACTCAAGGACCCCCCCTCCTCCTCCAGAGGCCTCCTTAATGGGGTCCGAGTAGATGGGGACGGAGGATCGCGACGCACCGCAGATGCAGCACCGATGCATCGGCGGTGCATCGGCGACGTCGGGGGTGTTTCGGCGATGCGGTGGAGATAATCGGGCTCGGTGTAGAGCCGCATCACTGATGCATCGGAAATGCGGAGCGATCCTCCGACCGCATCTACTCCGACCCCACCCCCAGACGTTCCAAGGGCTCCCACCTTCGCGCTTCGCGCTCCGCGAAGCGCGAATAACTTCGCGCTCTCGCGCCGCCCCCCCCAAAGGGAGAAAAGAAGGACGAGGAGGAGGGGGAGAAGGAACGAGGACCGCGAAGCGCGAATGACTTCGCGCCCTCGTGGGAGCCCTTGCATTCGATGTCTCGAGAATTGCAAGATGCCCCCCCCATGTTTTGGACCGGTTCTTCATCCTGTGCCGTTTTTTACTTTGACGGCCCCAGGGCCCAGCGGATAGAGGAAAGAGAACTACGCACATACACCGACTCTGGCCAGGCCCATCCTGAGCCCAGGATCGGTGCATACGCCCTCTTACCTTGGCCAGGAAGGCATATGCACCGATCCTGGGTCAAGGATGGGCCTTGCCAGGATCGGTGCACGTGCATAGTTCTCTTCGCCCGAATTCTTTGGAAGGGACTGACCATCCCGGCACCCCCGCAGCCCTGCCACGCAGCGTTCGAAATCGTGTTCCGTGAGCCCTGAGCGTGTGTCTAGCACATGACGCCCGCGTGTGAAACCAGGACGATCTCGGCCGGAAGCATTCAAAGAACAGTCCGTGCAGACCGCAAAAGGCTCTTAACACATTCTTGGCTGAGCCCATACTGGGCATCGCTCGGACGTCCATTCCCTGTTTTTGTTCGGTTTCGCGCGTGTTCTTTTCGCCGAATGATCAAGGATGCTCCTCGATGGTCTTCGCCGAAGGAAAAATGCACACGTCCGAGCGATGCCAAGCATAGGCCAGCCGGGACGCTCGGACACTGCTTGCATCGCCTGGGGGGCCTATGGATTCTCGCGGCGATCCTCGGGCGCCGCCGTGTCCAGCGACAGGCTTGGGCTCCAGGTGGACGCCAACCGCGGCGGCGCCGCGGGCAGGCTGTGCCTCCGGCGCGGAGCGCGCGCGGCGGCCGCGGCCTCGCGGCTCCACTCGACCCAGTCTGCGTGCCTGCGGCGGCGGGGGGGGGGTTCGCGGAGCCCTGCTGCTGCTGCGGCTCCTTCCCGATGCTCCTCCCTGTCCTCCTCCTCCTCCTCCTCCTCCTCCTCCTCCTCCTCCTCCCTCCTCCTCCCTCCTCCTCCTCCTCCTCCTCCTCCTCCTCCCTCTCCTACTTTTCCTCCTTCTCCTCCTCCTCCTCCTCCTCCTCCTCCGCCTCCTCCTCCTCCTCCCTCCTCGACCATCGCTCATCAACGGCGGCCTGGACAACCGACATGGACATGGAAGAAGGGCTACGAGACCAAAAAACACATGTTGTCAAAAACCAACCGCGGCCGCTGTGGAACTGCTTTTGAACGAGCTATTCGCAGTTTCGCCGTACCTTAGAGAAGCTTATACTGAGACGTGCGTGGCCTAATCTTTGAGGCAAGCATATGACTACTGGCAGGATCAAACAGTTTTGTACTCAACCACTGAGCCCTGGCAAGCCGAAGCATATCAGAGACAGCAGTCTTGCACTCCAGCGGTCAACCAACTAATCCAACAACACATGAGCAGGCGGCGGTTTGTTTTTTTAATGGGCAACTTCCGCGGCAGGGCGGACAACGAGTCCTGTTCAAAATGAGCAAGGGCTGTTGTTGTGCATCGTGCCCGTTCTTTCCGTACCCGTTTCGCTCGTGCCAAGGCATGCAGGGGGGGCGGGCCTCCTCAAAAATAATAAAAAACTCGGTGAACCCTCTCCGAAAACATCGGCGGCCTTCTCGGGAAGCTGGAAGGCCTCCGAGAAACCCCGCCGCCTTCTTTGAAAGCCTGTGCCCTCTCATTTATCGGGGGTCCGCAACGGCGGGGTTACGAGCCAGATGGGGCTGACCGAACAAGTGTACTGGACTTGCCGATGAAAACGTGGCTGCCGCGTGCTTGACTATCCTGAACCACGCAACGTGCAATCGTTGCTCGCCCGAATAAACGCGTCGCGCGTGTGCGGCGGCCGTCCAGGTTTCTAGGGGCCCCCTACGGCCTCGCCAGAAGGATCTTGGCTCCCTGTGGGGGTTATCTGGAAGGATCTTGTAACGGGCGAAGACCGGTATAAAATAAACTTTTTCGACGTCGGAGACACCTGCCCCATATGGGCTGGGAAGTTTCTACACTTACGGTGGCACCGTAGGGTTATAAACTTTCCAGCCGCCCAGGGGCAGGTGTCCCCGACGGCGAAAAAGTTTATTTTATACCGGTCTTCGCTCTCTGAATCTTGGCGTCCTTTGGGCGCTCACGCGGCGCCCGACGAAAAAGGGCCGGGGGGAACTCTAGGAGCCATGGGGGGCACCTGGCGCGCCGAGCCCCGCGGCGCCGCCGGGGCCCAGAGACAGGCCCTACAGCAACGCGCGCGCGGGACAATCTCTCGACGGCCGAAGGTCGTCGTCGACGGTCCCGCCGCGATGTTGCCGGCAGAAACCGAGATCTCGACGGGCCGGGAGGGGCGCGATCCATTATGTTGATTGTCGCCGCACACACACAGACGCACACACGCACACACACACACACACACACGCACACACACACACACACACACGCACACACACACACACACACACGCGCAGGCGCGCGTACGCACGTGCACGCACATACACACACACACACACACACACACACGCAAGCACGCACTCACGCAAGCAAGCACGCGCACACACACACGCGCGCACACACAAACACGTACACACACAGTTACACAGTTACACAAATTGTCTCGCTCGCACACGCACACACGCACACGCACACACGCGCGCACATGAACGCGCACGCGTACGCGCACACGCACACGCACACGAACTCAAACACACACACACACAGACACACACCCACACACACCCTCACACCAACACGCACACAAGCACGCACGCACGCACGTACGCACACACCAACACACACAACCACACACACACACACGCACACACACACACACCAACACACACACACCACACACACACCAACACACACACACACCATCGCACACACACGCACACACACACACGCACGCGCGCACGCACGCACGCAACCAAGCGCACGCGCACGCGCACCCGCATCCGCACTCGCACCCGCACCCGCACCCGCACCCGCACCCGCACCCGCACCCGCACCTGCACCCGCACCCACACCCGAACCCGCACCCGCACCCGCACCCGCACACGCACCCGCACCCGCACCCACGCCCACACCCGCACGCGCACGCGCACGCGCACCCGCATCCGCACGCGCACGCGCACGCGGCACGCGCACCCGCACCCGCACCCGCACCCGCACCCGCACCCGCGCCCGCCACGCGCACACGCACACGCACACGCACACGCACACGCACACGCACACGCACACGCACACGCACACGCACGCGCACACGCACACGCACACGCACACGCACACGCACACGCACACGCACACGCACACGCACACGCACACGCACACGCACACGCACACGCACACGCACACGCACACGCACACGCACACGCACACGCACACGCACACGCACACGCACACGCACACGCACTCACGCAAGCACGCACGCACGCACGCACACACACACACACACACCAACACACACGCACACGCACACGCACACGCGCACACACACACACACGCAGACACACACACACACACACACACGCACACGCACACGCGCACGCAGACGCACGCGAGCACGCACATGCACAGGCACACGCAGATACGCACACGCACGCACAAACCTTACACTCACATTCACACGCACACGTACACACACACGCATACACATATGCACGCCCACACGCGCGCGCGCGCTGGGCCTTCATGGGAACCCGAGGCCCGGGCAGGGGGGCCGCGCGACATGTCCCGCCGAGGTCGCGGACGAGGCTGGCCGCCTAACCGCCTTCCGCGCCCCGCAGGGCCGCTTCGGCCGCAGCCGCCCTCGTCGCGACCCGCAGGAAGGCGGCGTCGCCGAGCGCGTCCAGCTCGGCCTCAAGCGCGCAGCGGATGGCGCCGAACCGGTCGCGCATCGGAACGAGGGCGCGCCCCGCCCGCCGAAGGCGAGGAACTTCTGGATGCGGCCCCGCTGCGCCTGCGCGCCCCAAGGCTCCCCCGCGGGCGCGCGCGCCGCGTCGGCGCCGCCGCCGCCCGGGCCCGGCGCTTCCAGCCGCGGCGCGCGGCCTCGGCCGCCAGTGCCCAGCCAGCCTCATTTCCGCCAGCCGCGCAGGCGCCCTCTGCGGGCGCGACGCCGGGGGCCGCCCCATTGGCGCCCGCCGCGCGGGGTCGGCGCAGCGGATCGCATTTTCGGGGGAGCTCGCCGCTGGTGCCCTCGGAGGCCCCCGACGGGGGCGCCCGCCGCGCGCGACCGCCCGGCCCCGCGAGCCGCGCTGTCGGAGGCGCAAGCCTCGCGGGGGCGCTCGGCGCCGCGGGCCGCCCCGACAAGGGCGCTCGCCGCGCGGGCGCGCCCGGTGGGAAACGGCCGAAACCGATGTGTAAACTAGCTTAAAGGACACGCGACTAACAAAAACGCCGCATCTGATGATATGGTGCACTCAAACGGGCCTGCGCTAACTCACTGGCAAATATTTGGCAAACCAGCGCCCGTCGAGCACAGCCGCGTTTACGACCAGACAAGGCAGCCTACAACAGGCCCGCGCTTCCGCGAAACGTTGTCGGGCGCCGGCGGTGCAAACCCCGCGGCCGTAGCGCGCTAACTGAGAAGACAGCCCGACGTCGATGTCTCTGCGAAAAGCGGCCCAATGCTGCCGCGCGCGCGGCGGCGCACAGTCTGCCCCCGTTGCATATCTCCACGCGCAACGGCCCAACGCCTGCGTTTCCCGCGGGGGGCGGCCCGGCGCCGCCGCGCGCGCGGCGGCGCAAGGGCCACCCCCCATCGCATTCTTACGCAAGCAGCCCAGCGCCGCCGCGCGCCCGGCGGCGCAAAGGTCGCCAGAATCACTCCGCGCACGACGGCCAAGCGCCGCCGCGCGCACGGCGGCGCGGGAACGGCTCGCGTTGCGTTCTCTGCTCGCGACGGCCCCAGCCCGCCGCGCTCGCGGCGGCGCAGAGGCCGCCTCCATTTCGCCTCTCCACGCACGACGGCCCAGCGCCACCGCGCGCACGGAAGCGCCGAAGCTGGTCTCGTCGCATTTTCTCTGGGCGCGGCGGCCCAGCGCCGCCGCGCGCGCGGCGGAGCAGGGGCCGCCTCCATTGCGTTTCCTCGCGCGCGCGGCGGCGCAATGGCCGCTCGCGATGCGCTTCTCCGCGCGCGACGGCCCATCGTCGCCGCGCGCGCGGCGGCGCAAAGGCCGCCGGAGGCGCGTCTTCCGCGCGCGACGGCCCAGCGCCGCGGCGCGCGCGGGGCGGGGCAGAGACCCCCCCCCCCCCCGCTGCATGTCACAACGCTCGACGGCCCAGCGACGCCGCGCGAGCGTCGGCGCAGAAGCTGGCCTCGTCACGCTGTCCGCGCGCGACGGCCCAGCACCGCCGCACCGCCGCGCGCGGCGGCGCAAAGGGCCGCCTCCATTGCGTTCCTCTGCGCAAGACCGCACGGCGCCCCCTCGCGCGGCGTCGGGGAAACCGCGCGGCGTCGCAGAAACCGCCGGCGCAGAGGCCGCCCCCGCTGCATGCCTCCACGCACGTCGGCTCAGCGCTGCCGCACGCGCGGCGGCGCGGAGGCGTTGGCCGAGCGGTTGCTTCGGCGTCAGCCGAACGGTTGTTGCAAACTCCGATTGCCCGGGCTTCCCCTGTCTTGGCGTCGGCGATGCGATTTGGGCGACGCGAAGGATCATTGAAGGGCGCATTGTGTTTCGGCGCCAGCCGAGCGATTGCGTGAAATCCAGCCACCAGAGGGCCCCAGTGCAAGGGTCTAGTAGGCTCTGGATCGCCCGAAACCAAACGGGCCCAAAAAACTCCGGGCCACGCGAAACTCGTTGGCCTGGGAAGCTCCGAATGAAACCGTCCGTGCACCCACCGCGAGCGCGGGTGAGCGCACCCATGCGCTGGCGGCGTTCGTGGGCGGA